TACGGCTCTGGCAGGAGTTATAGTAGTGGAAGGAGCAGCTTTAGGCTTCTTGGTATTGAGTTCGTTGGCAGGCCAATGTGGCTACGTATTTAGCTTGAGTTAGCTTGGTTAGTCTTGAGTTGTATTGTTGAGGGACAGGTGGATTCGATCGCTATTGAACTTGTTAGTGATCTAGGGAGATCTATGAGTTGCTTTTTCTGTGTTGTGAGGCGTTATGATTGGTTGGTTATGGGCACACGTGGTGCAGATCTATTGGGGATTCATAGTGGAAGTCGAGCGGGAAGAGTAATCGGATGTTGCTCGGTAAATGGAGTGTGGGTTATGACCTATCAGGTGGCGTGTCGTATGTTGTTTATTTCACCGTGGGTGCAATGAATTGCCTTGGTTTCAGACATCAAATTGTGTGTGGCTGTCGAATTTTGATCACAGTGTCTTGAGGTGCTCCATGTGTAACAGTGTTTGGATAGGATCGCGCATTGTGCGAGGCTGCGTTGAGTTATGACCTTTCGGGGTCGATTCAGGTGTTCTATTTCTATTATGTGAGACGGGGTCTCAGCCTTGTGTTGTGATGGTACTGATGAGCTTGAAGTACAGCTCTTTTGTTTGAGTTATTTTCATGATTTGAGTATATTCAGGTCGTTTCTTGTTGGTATGCATATTATGCAAGTTGTGGCTTAGGCCTGTATTGAGGTATCATATCACCAGGTGGTGTGTTGGATTCGAGGTGATCCTTAGAGTCATTAATGCATACGAACAGAATTGATTGCAGCTTGTTAGAGAGATAATATCAAGGTATGGCCCGGAAATCTGTTGTGGTATTAGTCAAAGGGGAAGCGGCTTCATGAATGATTGATATGAGAAATGGTTACGGTTTATAGCATGTTTCATTTATCGTTGGCATTATATGAAAGTGTTGGAATAAGACCTTAGTTGATAAGAGGTTTTCTATCGGTATTTGGTTATTGTAGGCAACTGCTGTGAATAGAGGCTACCATTTCGAGTGTTTGGACCATGTGGTATATCATATGATCTCACCTGAGGTTGCAGGTATGGGTTATTACAGCTGGTTCGGGTTTATTCTGAGTATAGATGTGAGGTCCTGATCTTGTGTATGATTTCGGAAAGTGCAAGGTGGTTCTACAGTTCTACGGTTTAGATGGACTGTAAAATTTTAGCTATATTGTGTTATCGGACCTATGCGAGATAGGGTGACGAGGGATCACCCCGGGTATATTCTTGGTAAAGTTATTCAGCTGTTGGTTAGCTTCTAGGACAACTCTGGGTACGCTCGAGGACGAGCGTTGGTTTAAGTTGGGGAGGATGTGACGACCCGACCCGTCGTATCAGGTATTACTGCCCCGTTTTCCTCATTTATCACTTATTCATGTTTCATTACCGGTATGTGGTGAGTTAGAGTTGATTCGGATTGGTTTTTATAAGAAATGAGACACTTAGTCTCTTTTAAGAAGGCTTAAGTTGGAAAAGTCAACCGGACGTTGACTTATGAGTTAGAGGGCTCGGATGTGATTTCCGGTGATTCGGTTAACTTTGGGAGATGATTTGTGACTTGGGAGCGTGATCGAAATTTATTTTGGAGGTCCGGTGTAGAATTAGGCTTGAATTGGCGAAGTTAGTATTTTGGCAAATTCCGATTGATAAGCGAGATTTTGATATAGGGGTCGGAATGGAATTCCGAGAGTTGCAGTAGCTCCGTTATGTCATTGGATGTGCGTGCAAAGTTTCAGATCATTCGGACGAGGTTTGGTAGACTTTTTGATCGAAAGTGCATTTTGGAAGTTTTTGAAGAACTTAGGCTTGAATCTGATGTGATTTGATGGTTTTAGCGTTGTTTGATGTGTTTTGATGATTGGAACAAGTTTGAATGATGTTATGGGATATGTCCGTGCTTTTGGTTGAGGTCCCAGGGGCCTCGGGTGAGTTTCGGGGTGGTTTCGGACCATTTCTAGGCCATTTTTAACTGCTGGTTTTTGGCTACAGCAGTGTTCTATGCGATCGAGGGGAACTGGTCGCGATCGCGGCGAGTAAAATGTGAGAAACGTGCCAATGAATCACGATCGCGTGAAGCCTTTCGCGATCGCGGAGAAGAAATATTCTGTTGTGTTGATCCTACTTCGGAAGCTTATATCTCACAATCTATAAGGAATTTGGAAATGATCCAAAAATGCAAATTGTATCCCTTTGTGTCTAGTTTTCAGAAATGTAAATTAATTGGAATGTAAAGTTGTGTACAAAAAGTTATGGTGGTTACACTATAGGCTGCCCGGGAAGGTCTCTAATACACAGGGATGACTTTGGAAGCTTATATCTCTGCAATGTAATTAGGAGTCAGAAATGAGAAACATATGAAAATTAATTAGCCCTATATGTCTAGTTTTCCACGAACATCAAACCTTCGTAATTTGGGAGTTGTGTGAAAAAAGTTATGAACCTACTATATCGGAAGGCTATCCGGAAGAGCTGGGAACTGTTCATCGCGATCGCGAAGCATTGTCCGCGATCGCGGAGAGTAAATTTTGGGCTGGAAAAAAATTGTTCTCCGCGATCGCGAAGCATTTTCCGCGATCGCGAAGAGTAAATGACCTGGGCAGAATGTTTTAAAACACGTCAGTCGCGAATTTTGGGGTCATTTTACAACCCATATTTGCTCGTTGAGATTCTTGAAGGAGATTAACGAGGGATTTCAAGGGGGAACTTTGGAGGTAAGTTTCTGACTCAAAACCGTTTTTATTGTGAAATCCATCTAGGAAATTCATTGAATTTTTGCTAAAATGGAGGAATAGGGCTTGGAATTTCAAATTTTTATATTGGGATTGGAAGGGTTCAATTGTGATGGATTTTTGATGTTCTTAGTGATGTATGAACTCGTGAGGAGATAAGGAATCCCGGTGATGTGGAATTTTTCCGAGAAGTGGGGCCGGGGCTTGGGTTTTGCCCAACTTAGTGAATTTTGGTGTTTTTCGAGTCTTCTCGATTGGGTTATGTTTCTTTAGCCCTTTTGGTAATGTATTCGTTGTGTTGTAGAATCAGATTAGGCGTGCAAAGAGGTTGATTCCGAAAGGCAAAGGCATAGCGAGCTAGGACTTGTGGCCAGCTTGAGGTGAGTATAGATGTAGATGATGACCTGAGGTTTGGAAAACCCCCGTAATATCACATTGTGGACGCTATATTGGAGGGAGACACGTACTACTATGACGAGTGCAGGGTGAATTGTGTACTGGGGATGTGACCTAGTCCGTTCCGATTGATGTTCGTACTGTGTTCTGACTAGAAAATTGTTTTTGGTAATCATGCCTACTGTGGATTTCTATGATAATGTTTGGGGCTTGTGCTATCATTGTGCCATCCTTCAGGTATCCTTATCACTGCTTCCATGATGCTTAGCATATTTCATGATATTAGTCCTGAGTTAGACACTGCCTCGAAATGTTTAGTAAATAAATAAAGGTTTAAACACTTAGCTCTATAATTCCTACTAATTGAAACTAAAAATGAACAATTTGACTGTGCCCGAGTGGCTTGCATGCATATATATATCTGGACTGAGTGTGGATCGGGCTGCACGCCGCAGCGAATGCTACGATGATATTGAGCTTGGGCTGTAGGAGCCCCTCCGGAGTCTGAACCCCCACAGTGAGCGCGGGTACTCAAATGGATCGGGCTGCGCGCCGCAGCGGTCATGTGCATTGCATTGCATTGCATTCATGCATTATTACCTATTTGTCTTACTTGTCCTGGTATTGTTGTTGTTCCACCATTTAATATGCTGAATCGCTGATTATAGCTTTATATTGTAATATTTCGGAATTTCTTACTTTCAGCCATTATGTATGTTTATTACTCACTGAGTTGGAAGTACTCACTTTACTCCCTGCATCTCGCATGCAGTTACAGGTATCGTTCACCCGGTAGCGGGTTATTAGCTGATTGAAGGTATTGTTATTGTAGCTGAGCAAGGTGACCGCCAGCGTTCGCGGCACCGGATGTTGTCTTTATTTTCCAGAAATTTTACTTGTATATATTTATTGGCCTGTAGTTGTGTTAAGGTTTCCTTAGATGCTCGTGACTTGTGATACCCCGGTCGGGTAGTAATTAATAGTTTCTAATGCCATTAAGCTGTATCTTCTATTCATTTATGTTTAATAAATTGTTAGTGAAAGGATTTGGGGTTAGTTGGCTGGCCTTGTCTTCACGAGAGGCGCCATCACGACCGGGTATGGGAATTGGGTCGTGACAAGTTGGTATCAGAGCCTAGGTTACTAGGTCTCACGAGTCATGAGCAGGTTTAGTAGAGTCTCGCGGATCGGTACGGAGACGTCTCTATTTATCCTCGAGAGGCTGCAGAACCTTTAGGAAAACTTCCCATTCTTGGAATTCTTATCGTGCGTACTTGATTCAGCTTGAGATATAACTCTTGAAATTCCTTCCACACGTCTGTATGCGCACGTGAGCGCTCAATATTATATGTGCCTTGATGGTTTGTGATTCCCCGATCGAGGGGCGAGATGTAATCTTCGTGAGTATGTTGGGCCAGTCTGGAGGACTTGAGGCCGGATCCTTGCCTATGGCTTGAGCACCGAGGTGCTGACTGTGTGAGCAAGTGTTTTGAACTTATATGTTCAGTATTGCCCCTATTAGCCGGANACTTAAAGTGCATAATGTAATAAAATTTTCTAGCAACATGACATATAAAATTTATATCGATCTAGTCAAAGTCTATGAAATCCTCAATAGCTAAAGCAGAAATAACATTAGTCTAACTCAATTGTTAGGTGACGACATCAAGGTCAGTAAAAAAAATTTGCGGTCTTCCAATGGACACCCAATCAGTGTGCGACACAAGTCTGCATGTTTGCAAAGAAATATATAAGCTTTCATGTGCATACTAGGCTCTAAATCCAACACTTGTACCATTTGCCATATCTCACTCTCAGGAATAGGTGGCATAGTTGAAAGGCAATTAATTGCATTAGCCAAATTATTCATCCCACCCTTAACATATCAGCCATACTTTCAAGATGATCTTGTTTAGATTTTTTATTCCTGCTAGAAGTCGGTACCTCTAAATATACATACGATTTACGTGCCTCCTGAGTTGATTGATCTTGCTCATGTTGTCCATGTTCCTCGATATTTTCCAAAGAGGCAACATTCATGGAAATTACTTCATCTACCTCATCAATAGTCAATGAACTATCACTTGATTTTCTCAAATTATTACGAGCACCCCTTTTTACCATATTTGCTCCAGTCTCAGCTTGCTTTCCAGTATCTCTATTCCTTCCATATAGCTCAATTAGCTTATCATAATTTCTAATCAGCTTGTTTCTCCATTCAGCAGCTTCAGGCTTAGCCTACACAAAAAAAGTACAATATAATAATGCAGAAAATGAGATAAACATTATAAGATGCAAATAAAGAACAAAACTGCTAAAAATAAATGTACCTGTATTAATTGATCCCATACTTCAGATTCAGCATTCCACATATTTGTGTTGGAATCCCATACAAACCCGCTCATCCCATTTTGAAAGGTGTCATAACACTTGCTAAATTTTGTTTTAATATTTCTCATTCGGTTGTGAACGCTCTCCTTGGTAAGAATTTTATCTGGAAATTTTGATTGCATCTCTTTCACTATATTGTCAATCGCCTGTGCAGTAAAAGTTCTACCAATCCTGTTTCCAAGTGTGTGCTCATGATAGAATGCATCAATTAAGGCATCATCCATAGCATTTGACCAAATACAAACAGAAGTGATATCTGAAAGATTTGTATCGCTTGAAGATGCCTTTGACCTTTTCGGCATATTGATAACTACATAATTAAGAGATATTCATAAGACTTAATGAAAACTTTATCAGACATAATATTTGTAAGAGTTATAAAATAAATAAATGCATAGTACATAATATATTTTATTCAAATAATAGCCGAAATTACTTTCAAACAACATCAAGTAAAAAAACACGAAAAAAATCGTTGACTTTTTCTATCCTAGAAGATTAAACTTGATAATTAGTCCACATGTCAGCTGCTATGCCATCTCTAATCAACTCCCCCCCTTCTAAACTCCTCATTGCTTTTCCTAGGATTTGGTGGTTCTTCATGCACATCATTATCATTCATAAGCTCCGCATCAACTTGTGCAAGTAACTCATCATTTGGATATGCACCTCTTAAGTAGTTGTGCAAAATACAACATGCAAAAATAATAAGCTTTTGGGTTTCAACACCATATGACGGTTCAGTTGAACTAGAAATTATAGGAAATCTCTTTTTTAGAACTCCAAAAGCTCGTTCAATAGCATTACGCAAAGATGCGTGTCGCAGATTAAATAATTCACGAGGATTTCGAGGTGGATTTCTTGAATACTTTTTCAAGTGATATCGCTCCCCACAATAAGGCGTAATAAGTCCACTTCTCAACATCAATCCAGCATCAACAAGGTAGTATTTTCCTAAAGATAAAAAGTAAAAGCTTTAATTATTTATTCATCACATCTAACTTTCCCTATATAAATATATAAAATATTTACCTTCTGGAAGTTTTAGCGGGTCTTGTCTATTTAACGGTTCTTTCATGATTCTTGAATCAAATGCCGCCCTTCCCAACCAGCAAACACATATGTAAATTTTAAATCAAATGTGCATGCAGCCAATATTTGTGTTGGATAATCTTTTCTTCCACGGTATTTGGGTGCTTCACGTTGTGAAACTTTAACGCGTATATGTGTTCCATCAATTGCACCAATACAATCATGACATTATTATAATAAATTATATGCAATCAACCTTGAATTTAGCTAAAAGTTCAATAAAATTGTATTTGTGTTCACCTTAAAATATGGGTAGAATCTTGGGTTGCTGGCAATTTCAGAAGGAACTTGAGAACCATCAGGTTGTTTAATAAATTTTTCATATAACCCCAAGATCGCTCGCAGGAAAATATGAAAATTGCGACTAACCGACTCCCCAGATCGTCGAAAGATAAAAGCTAACTCGCGATTTATCGTATTATGTGCTAACAGGTAAAGTGTTTTTGCAACTTGCTCTTCAACTGTAGCTTGAAGTGTTGGTCTAAGATCACCCTCTCTAACTAACATCTCACATAGATAGGTAAAAGCTAAAGGGGTCATTCTTATAATATTACGACAAAGTTCAGTTGAAAATAGATGACTCAATAATTCATGTCTAACTTGTTCACTTTTCAGTCGTATATCATGTGTGATCGTACGTCGGTCATTTTCAATTTCACGTACATAAGTCCAAAACCAAATAGCTACTAAGCAAGCAACATATGTAGCTAAAGAGCTCACTTGTTCCAATATCTGTCTATTATTTTGATTATTCCGATCAGCCATCTATAATAAAATTAAGTGAGATACATCAACCAATATCATAGATGAACTAACCAGAAAAAATACTGAAAAGATTCAACAAAGTGAATCAAAACCAGCATCGTCTTTGGTTCCCTGCCCCCAAAATTTTCCAGCAAACTAAAATTAAAAGCCAACAAAGTATCCAGCTAAATCCAACAATAATGATACATAATAATAATGAGCAGGTAAATTTAAAATGACCTTAAATAAGCTGCAAGGAGTTCTAGATAGGTAGGAAAAATAGGAATCGATTGTTTCAATAAGAAATCATTGAGCAAGTGACAGCAGTAATACCAAGACAAATACACTCCATTAGCAATCTGAAGTAGTTCAACATAAAACGATATGAAAGTGATGTAAAGTAGACAAATACATAATGATATGAAAGTGATAACAAGCAGACAAATACATAAAGTAGTTCAACGAAAGGAAAGTGATGTAAAAAGAGTCGCCATACGCAATGATGCAACAGAAATAATAATAATTCATAGCCGTAAACGACATTTATATTTCATATATTTACAAAAGTGAATTGACTACAACGATGACTCCACTCAACGAAAAGAGATGAAAGAGACGATACCGTCGTTGGAAAGAGACGATACCTGTAAAAAGTTTGTTGGAAAGTCGTTGACTAGTTTCACGAAAGAAGATAGAGACAAAGTACTTATTAGTTTGGTGAATAAAATACAAATAATAGGGTAAAGGGTAAAATTGAAATATAGAATAATAAGTGTGGGCATTATTGAAAAGGAAAATACGGAACAATCCCACCACACTGATTTGGTTGTTTCATAAAATGGGGTTTTTCATTGTTCCGGAACAATGGATTTAACAATACGATACAATCAGTTTTATATTAACAATCAAAACAAACATTTTATCTAGGGTAACAATACAATACAATACAACCGGAAACAACCATCCAAACAACACGTAAGTGTTCTCTCTCACTGCCGTGGTAGTAATTAATGTTTTTATTTGTCTTTTTTAGTTTTGTGTTTTCAAGTTTATCAACTGGAGGCCTAGGCAATATAGTTTGAACATAAAAAAAGGTGGGGGCGGGATGGGGTGAGGGTAGGTATGGGTATGTTGGGGGTGTGAGGGTGAGTTGGTGGGGATGAGGAAGGTTAAAAAAGAATTTTGAAAAATATTCCTTCAATTGGAGGAAAATGAGATCATGAGGAAACTATTATTCAAAACATTTAAGCCAACCAAGCATGGGAAAATTGGAAAATATTTTCCAGAAAATATTTTCCAGAAAATATTTTCATCCCTACCAAACGCACCCTATATGTTTTCAATTCCACCATTATTACTCCAAGGTAGGTAGTTATTTATTACTCATTTAAAGAGTATAAGGGTAATTTAATCAAATAATGCTTGTGATAAATCCTAGTATTAGATTATTTTGTTAATGAGTGTGTTAAAACTTTAAACTATTAATCAATAGAACTTTTAGAAAGTGTAAGCTAATCTGTATCTATATTCTATATATTATTAAAAGGAGAGGACAAAGCCCTCTTCTTAAGCCAAGTGGCAGCCTAAAAAAAGCCACATGGCATAATTAGTTACTAGTTAGTTATTTAGTTAATAATTAGTTATTGGTTGTTATTTTTGAATTTAAATATATATAAAAAATGAAAATAATAAAAAATAAATAACTACCATCTATATATATATAAATTGGTTACTTTATTTGAATTAATAAATATAGATATCTTATAATAACTATAATAAAAAAATTGAAAATATAAATATAGATATAAAAAATATAACTACCCATTTAAATTGGGTGGGAATATTTTCAAGTTGGAGTTTTAAAATTATTTTTAAAAAAGCAAAAATAAAAAGAAAAAGAAAATTAGTTATAATAAAAAAATGAAAAAAAGAGAGAAGAAAAACTACCCATTAAAATCAGGGAGTAGTGTGACGACCCGACCATTCGTTTTGAGCATTTACACTTCGCTCGCCAGTTCTCGAGCATGGATAGCCCCATATGATGTGTTATGACTTATGCAAACCGTCAGTTTGGTTTTTCAGGTTAATCAGAGCAGATATGGAAGACTGATTCTCAGCTTGAAGCTTTAAATTTGAAAGGTTTGACCAAGTTTTGACGTTTTAGTGTTCGATCTCGGATTTGGATTTTTATGACTTGGTTAGCTTTGTTAGGTGATTTGGAACTTAGGAGCGTGTTCGGAATGTAATTTGGAGGTCCGGGGTAGATTTAGGCTTGAATTGGCGAAAATGGAAATTTGGCATTTTTCGGTCGGCAATGGAAATCTTGATATCGGAGTCGGAATGGCATTCTGGAAGTTGGAGTAGGTCCGTTGTGTCATTTTTGACGTGTGTGCAAAATTTCAGGTCATTCAGATGAGTTTTGATAGGTTTTTACATCGGTTACGGAATTCGGAAGTTTTGGAATTCTTAGGATTAAATCCGAGGGTGATTTGGTGTTTCGATGTTGTTTTGAGTGTTCCGAAGGTTGGAATAAGTTTGAATAGTGGTATGTGACTTGTTTACATTTTTGGTTGGGGTCCCTGGGGCCTCAGGATAATTTCGGATGATTTTCGGAAAAGTTTAGACTTGAGGAAATGCAGCTGGTGTGCTGCTTCTGTCATATCCGCACCAGCGGATTGGGGACTGCAGGTGCGAGCTTGGCAGGAGCGGCCTTGAGGCGCAGGTGCACAGAGGAACCGCAGGTGCGGCTAGGTCCTCGCATCTGCGTGACCGCGTGTGTAGTTAGGCGACCGCAGAAGCGGAGTTTGGCTGGTTAATGAAAATTCGCAAAAGCGGAGATTTGTCCGCAGGTGCGGACCGCAGATGCGACATTGGTACCGCAGGTGCGGTTTTACTGGGCAGAAAATATAAATAGAGGATTTCGTGAAATTTTAGTTATTTCCACCATTTTTCATCCAGTTTTGGAGCTTCTTGGAGGGTTTTGAAGAGGGATTCAAGGGGAAACTTGTTATAGTGAATTTCAGTTGATTAAACATGGAAATTGAAGAGATTAGGAGTGGAAAATTGGGAAATTAGGGCTTGAAATTGGAGAGTTTAAATTGGGAATTTGAGGGACCATTTGAGGTCCGATTTCGATGTTTTTGGTATGTATAGACTCGTGGAAGGATAAGGATTCTAATAATGTGATTTTTGTTGAATTCCGAGATGTGGGCTCGGGGGTCGGGTTTGGCCAATTTCGGGATTTTTAATGTAATTTTATTATTTTCGCGTGGGCTTTGTTCCTTTAGCGTATATTGATGGCATGAATCTTATTTTGGTTAGATTTGGAGCATTTGGAGGTCGAGTCGAGAGGCAAAGGCATCGCGGGTTAGAGTTCGGTCCGGTTTGAGGTAAGTAGTGATTGTAAATGTTGTCCTGAGGGTACAAAACCCCGGTTTTCAGATCGTGGTACCATTTTGAGGTGACA